TGACATACGGTTTAATGTGAAGACAACAACAACAACAACAACAACAACAACAACGTATGACCATGATCTACGGCACCCCTCTAGGAAATCACCAAATCACGAAATCATGACGAGAGACACGGCACTTCCGGCATGTCAGGCCCGCCAGGGATGCCAGGTTCGCCAGGGGGCGGACAACGGCCATCAAGAGACTCTTTGAGTTTAAGTGCGGTATGGGCGTGTGAAGGATGCGGAAAGGAATACACTCAAAGGCGCCGACAAGAGCGGTGTAATTGCCGCCACGATGAACGAATCCGTTCAATTTAGCCGCACCGTCAGTACCCCGACAGCACAGGACAACCTTGTCCAGAGAGGGCAGTGCGCGCAGTGGTTCAGAGTCGTACCTTCCAGCCGTGAGAGAACGAGGGAACGATGCACCAGCCGATGCCCAAGATGCGCTAAGTGTGTGGACAAAAGTACATTAATAGAGTCGGTGCGGGAGTTATATTCGACGCTGTGAAATACATGAACACGAAATATATTACAACACACCGCACGCCGCATGCTCAGCAAATACCCTCCATTAATAATGGAGGGTATGCATCCAGTCGCAGAAGACAGCTCAGACTCTAGACGCGCGGCACCGATCTCTTCTCCTCAGATGGGTGGAATTGATATAGACAAATTGTAAGCTTAGCGAGGGTTGGCATTGCGGCTGTGACACGAAAGCCCATGAGCGCACTTTCTTCCGGGCTGTGGTCGTATACGCTGGAGTACGCTGGAGTAGGTCGTGCTGCTCTACATGTTGGATGCGAGTAGTATAACGTGCGGTCCGGGTTACACGCAAGACCGCAATTGATCTCCGAAGAACCGACGGTGTTCGTTTGCACGTGGTGCTGTGTGTGGAGATCGATCGGAACTCAGTACATGATNCCATGCGCGCACTTTCTTCCGGGCTGTGGTCGTATACGCTGGAGTACGCTGGAGTAGGTCGTGCTGCTCTACATGTTGGATGCGAGTAGTATAACGTGCGGTCCGGGTTACACGTAAGGCCGCAATTGATCTCCGAAGAACCGACGGTGTTCGTTTGCAAGTGGTGCTGTGTGTGGAGATCGATCGGAACTCAGTACATGATTCGTAACAGAATCACAGGTCTCCGAGGACATGGATAAACGCGGGTTTTGTAGCTGACCTACATAGTCTCACGAGAGAACTAAGCCTCACGAGAGAGAGAGAGAGAGAGAGAGAGAGAGAGAGAGAGAGAGGCGTGGCGCGCCCAAGCACGGCTGGAACAAACGGGGGGGCGAGCGCTGGAGACCGTCGTATGTACACAACGTACCGATCGACCACGACACCATATGCGCCCCCCCAGCTAACCACTGTCACATGTCTGTGTTACCGTCTGGTGGCGAGCACAAAGCACCACACCATAACAGCACGTGTGTCGTCGTCTTGTGCTGCTCGGTGTGCTTTGCGCCTGAGGCATTGCGAAGGAGGTGGTGGAGCTAGAGTAGGCAAAACACAAGATGCGAGTATACACGTCGGACGAACGCCTTGCGTATAGAACCTTGTGCGCATTCCCCGGATGCCAGGCGTTTCTCGACAAATCCTCACGAGTTCGCAATCAACGTCTTCTTGGTGCTGTGAAACGGACAGGATCGCACGGAGATGACGTGCCCGACAGCACGTCCGAGGTCGGGGCAGTGGACGATTTCGGTGGTGCGGGTGACGACTCACGCAGCGCTGATGGAAAAAAAGATGAGGACACAGGCACCGGCGGTGGACTCCGCGGCCTATTGGAGAGGATCGAAGAGAATCTCGGGGTGAGCAGGGAAGGCACGGGTACGGACGACGAGGGTACCGTCGACGACGGGGGAGACATGGAAAGCGGGGGCGAGGAGGGTGACATCGGGTTAGACGATGAACGATACGACGATTTCCAGGGTAATGTGGACAACAGAGGGACCGATGGGGCACCTGAGGTATTCGAGCCTCCCGGGCATAATGGTGGCGCGTCATCTGCCCCCAGGTTAAATAAGCTTCACACAATGACGCCGTCTTATGCATCGAGTAAGACGGTGGAGGGCGGCGCCGAGAAATTGAGAGAGAACACAAAAGCCCAAGGTTCTGATTTCTACCCCTTTCGTACGAAGGAGCAACAACTAATTTTCGTCTGGCAGCATGTACATCGGATCTCGCAAAGGGCATTGAGAGGACTTCTAGAAGTACTCTTGATGCAGTACGAGGGCGAACCGTTTGACGTACGTGGGCTCGCAGACGTCGACCCCGAGCACTTCTATGATCGCATGCGGCCGTACTTGCCCCTGCTAGAGCTGCTGGAGCGAGACGTTCCGTCGACAGACGACGGAACGACGTCGTCTGTCGTGTACGACCTCCCGGTCAATCTGCTGCTCGACCGTGTCATGCAGATTCCGTCTGAGACTGCGCTGTCGAACGCATACCCGGGAGGGCAGCTATTGCGCGGAGAAGAGGCAACCGCAAATTCGCTGACGAGCGACCACGTCAACTGCGTGCCTACACGGCGAGAGGGAAACGTCATGAACTCAAACCACAACGGCACCCTCGCGAGGTCAATCCCATTCTTCGGCTTTGACGGCATACGAGCAAGAGTGTGCGGGAGGAAGGTATACGTCAACGACACTTGTGTTTGCGAGGTCGAGGGAGTGGCTACCCTATGTCGTATTTTGGAGATCTTCTACGATGGAGAACGTCGGTTGGTGCTAGTAACCGTGCGGCTGTTCAGGGGGGTGAGCGAGGTACGGGGCGTGGGGAATGAGGAGAGACGTGGCGGACTGTTACGGGTGTGGGAGGATTGCACCTGCAAACTGGAGTTGAAGGCCAACGACGTTCTGGGGCTGGTTGAGATGGAGACGCCGCACGAGATGGCGGCAGCTGGCCACCCGTACCCATGGGACCGCTTTTTTGGGGAAGGTTTTGTAAGACAGACCGGTACAAAGCGAGCACTGCAGAGTAACGCCAGGCCTAAGCCGTTCGCGGTGACGGAGTCCCCGTGGTGCGCCGAGGGGCCCGCAAACAGGCCGCTTTGGGGGCTGCGACGTGAGGGCGTACATCTCAACGACATGAATCTGCCCTACTACTCCGCGCCGACGGTGTTTCACTGCGATGCATTCAACGCCTTTGGAATGGGTTGCAAGGTGAGCGTGTGGTTTTGAGATGGTTTCGCGCGAAGATATCGGAATATGTATCACACACACAGGACCACCATCCTTATGTTATTGCGGGACGTCCCCCCAGATCTAACCCCGAGCGGGGGTGATAAATTCGCAATAGCTTACCGTGATTCCCCCATCCTTCGTTTATGCACATGCATGCGATGTTGTGGTTCGCAGCATTCCATAGGAGGGTCCTACTTTGGATGGGCTTGGCGAACGCCAGCGGTTCAGCGGTTGAAACATCAAACGCACGTCGGCACTCTCGCGAGCCCGGGAGCTTGCAGCCAGGGAGAGACCGGCCTGCAGTGCGAAATACTCGGACTGCTACAAAATGGATGCCTGGGGCGGTGCAAGCTGACAGACGAAGAAGGGGCGGCGTTTGAGCAAGAGGTACGGTCTACATTCACTGAGATCATGGAACATCGACAACATTAGTTATCTGTGCTAACCTCGGAATTTTCGGTTGTGGAAGCGGGGTTTATCATACGATGTTGGTTGCATAACTGGTTCAGCTGAAGCGAACTTCCCGTACGGCAACGTGTCGGTATTAGGCATGCCTCTACTAGTGCCATTAGTGCGTATGTGGGTGCGGGTGGCCTTTGCTCGGGTAACGCACTAAAAACTGACGACCACTGCACCAACACACCGACCAAATTTCGGTCCCGCCACGACTCCGCCAAATTGTTGCCACCCGCCAGGTTTTCGTGCGTGGCGGTCTGCTGCTGATGTGTGGGGATGGACAAGGGCGCTCGAAATTTCTCGGCACGAAGGCTCCCAACAGCTGGTCCAAACATCCGTGCGCGTACTGCATGGTGAGTCAACGCGACGATGATACCGGCGGCGATCTGGGGAACCCAAGGTTCGACATCGACAAGCACCGCCGCACATGGGGCCAGATAACGGATGGCTTGTCCGAGTTGGATGCCCTCGCGGATGTCCCTCGCGAGCAGGATCGACGCTCAAGAGACCTGGGACTGGTTCCGCCGGATGCGTCAGGGCTCCCCCTCCCTCTATACACCGCCATGCGCATTGTTCCGACGGAGAACGTACCCGTCGAGCGACTGCACTTCGATGCGCTGGTGAGTGATGTACACAAGTTTACCCTGCATGTGAGAAACCCCCCAGGGGACACACGTTGACGACGTCTCCAAGCGGAAGATTATACGCCGTCCTCAAGAGGTTCAAAATTCCGACGCATGCACTTCAGTAAGTAGTAGAACGACGGTTGTTGTGATCGCCCACATGATCACTTCGTCGGCTAAGGGTTGCATTCTCTCCTTGTCTGCCCGGCATCCCACCACCGTTGCCGGTAGGGGCAAAGTCAGCTTTGCCAGGTGTTCTACTTGGAGATGCTCTCCACTACAGGTCGCCGGCTTGTCTCAGCCATCATGGCCCAGAAGCCGTCTTTACTCTTCCAACCCGGAACACGGAAGCTGAAGGATGTCGTGACCAACTACGCTTCTCTGANAAGGTTCAATATTCCGACGCATGCACTTCAGTAAGTAGTAGAACGACGGTTGTTGTGATCGCCCACATGATCACTTCGTCGGCTAAGGGTTGCATTCTCTCCTTGTCTGCCCGGCATCCCACCACCGTTGCCGGTAGGGGCAAAGTCAGTTTTGCCAGGTGTTCTACTTGGAGATGCTCTCCACTACAGGTCGCCGGCTTGTCTCAGCCATCATGGCCCAGAAGCCGTCTTTACTCTACCCACCCGGAACACGGAAGCTGAAGGATGTCGTGACCAACTACGCTTCTCTGAATGGCAGCGACAAGTGGACACTGCAATCGATCATTCTTCTCATATTCCGGATGGTTCTCCAGGATGTTTCGGCAATGGTGAGTACATTTTGTAGCGTAGTCGGGCATTCGTTGTTCCCGAGAAAAGCCAACACGTAGTATTGCATACGATCCATGCATGTGCTCAAGAGTTATATCCCGCCGAACGTAATATCTCTCCCGCCGCAATGCTTCTTCAGTTTACAGAGCTATATACATTCGTTTTCGTACCCCTCCCTGGCTAGAGCACGAGAAGCGTGAACAAAACTTCACCCGGTACTCTTGGCACGTGCGCAGTGCACAGCACTCCTCCTCTCGAAATTGTGTACGCCTATCTGTTTGCAGCAGTGGAACACTCATCATTTGTGTAGCTTCGAAAGTTGTTCCGCAGAGGAATGACAGCAGTAGCTCAGATCCACACGCACGGGCGAAACTCGGCGTGCCTCACTCT